AATTTAACGATAAGGTATTAGCTTAATAGGATATAGCATAGTATTAAAGTCCAATAACTAGATCATATGAAAATTAAAGTTTAGACATATGAAACATATGAATTATAGTAAAGTTTGGTAGTTTAAGAATAAGTTTTAACTGAGTTATAAGGCATTACGTTAAATCATAATAGGTTAATAGTATAACTGACAGTTAAGTCATTTAACTAAACTTATAGATTATAGTATAGTGTTAAGTTGATAATATTAATTGTTAAAAATATTGGGAATCAGTGAACTTGGATTGAACCTAGAGTTAACTCAGGAAAGTTTTTTGTATTAATCAGGGTATAGAGCAAAGAGTATAATATGAATGATTCATTGAACATTATGGAAAACACTTTGAACGATTTGTATTGAAATTGTGCACCTGTGACCTTAATGTAAGCACGGCAGGCATCATGGAATTCGAATTGTTTGCTTGGAAATTGCAGATCTCGTGGTGGTCTTGTGATGCATAGTTTGTAAAGCACGAAACTTGTACGCCCCCAGTGAGTGATTATCACACTGCTGGAGGGTATAGAAAATGGTATATAAGTTGGAAAATGTTTGAATAAAATCGGCTCCAGTCCTGATCAGACTGTTCCCAGAAGAACTGCCTCCGAGTGGTCTTCTCGCTGTCCAGATTCTCTGGTGCGGGTCCTAACCCACCCTTGGTCAGTGCTGGTCACCGACACTTCCTCACTGGGAAACAAGGGTGGTCCCCAGCCCTCCACCCCAGGGGCTCTGTCTGGCAGGTGCAACTTTAAAATGCGCCTCCCAAAAGGACTCTCAGGCTGGAGGAAGCCATGTTTGTCCTGGCACCTGGACGGCTCCTCCCAAGTCTCCTGCCCTCAGGAAGGAGGTGCCGCTCGGGGATGAAGCTGGGGGTACTTTCTTTGGCAAGAAAATGACTCTGGCAGCAGCCACCACCCGATGAGCAGGCACTTGAGCCACTGTGGCAGAGTCAAGGTTCAGGCCAGCCACAGGCAAAGCATTTACGTGGGGGTTGGTGGGATTAAAACCCAGCCCTGGAAAGATGTCAGACCCACTTCCTGGCCTCTCACCCTCTGCTCTTCCGCCAACCCATGTTCTAGAAAGTCCACAGGAGAGCAAGCTCCCCAAATGTGTAGGCTTCACTTGAACAATCCCTGCATTCCTAGGCACCAACCCAGTGACAATTACTGACCCGGAGCAAAATGCTGTGACCACAAGGGTGTTCCTTGGAGGGATCATTCTTCCAGATCTCAAACTGGTCACAACCTAGATGTCCAGGATCCAGACTGGGGGTGTGGCCAAATAAATTATGGAGGAGCCACACTGTGGGGAAAAATGCAGCCATCGGTATAATAGGTGTCTGCAGTGCTGTTTCTAACCATGAGGAGAGATATCCTGGAAGCATGGTTGGGTGGAAAAAGGATGTTACAAAGCAGTATGATACATAAATATTATATATGTATGTATCTAAATATGTATGTGTGTGCTTGTATACCTATATACAGAGGGTGCCAAAATGTATGCACATTTTAAGAAGGAAAAAACTGCATTAAAATTGTAATACTCAATACACACTGATAACAAAAGATGCAGAAGTCACATTTGACTTCTGCAATGGCAAAAGGTGCTCAAAGAGGTGCCCATCAGCATCTAGATACTTCTGATGATGATGAATTAAGAGTCATGTGTGGATAACATCACTTAAAATGTGTGTGCCTTTTTTTGGCACCCCCGGGATGTGTGAGCAGCCGTCCAGGGCAACCTTTAAGATCTAAGAGCAGGGCTCTGGGGGCAAAGCACACTTGCTGTTTGGACTTTGTTACCTTCGGTGTTCCCATCTGCACAGTGGGTCTAAGGATGATTGTGTCTACCTTCTAGGGCTGTTGTGGGAATAAGATGAGATCACCCATGTAAAATCCAACCACCGTGAGCAACTAAGAGGCAAGAATAGGAGCTAGCATTTCTTGGTGGTCACTCTTATAGAGAAACCTCTGGAAGGGGTGTCCCAAAGCGTCAACCATGGGTAAGAGCATATAGGGGTTTTTAATCCTCTTATGTCTTACATTTTGCTATACCTCTAAAAATATTCTCAGCAGTGACTCTATTTTTTTTTTTTTTTTGAGTTGAGGTCTTACTCTGTCGCCCAGGCTGGAGGGTAGTGGCACAATCATGGCTCACTGCAGGTTTGACCTCCTAGGTTCAGGCAATCCTCCAGACTCAGCCTTCTGAGCAGCTGGGACTATGGGTGCAAGCTACCACGCCTGGCTAATTTTTGTATATTTTGCAGAGACAAGGTCTTGCTATATTGCCTAAGCTGGTCTCGAACTACTGTGCCCAAGCAATCCTCCTGCCTCAGCCTCCCAAAGTGCTGGGATTATAGGCATGAGCCACTGGGCCTGGCTCTATATTGCTTTATAGTCAGGGGTAAAAAATCTTTGACATATTTACTAGAGCACATTCATTCATTCTTTCGCTGGGCTCCCAGATGCACACGCATGTGCCAGCCACCCCAGGAGACCCCCCAAGGGCATGTCAGGAAATGCGCACAGAGCAGAACACCCCCTGCCCAGCTGTCTCCGTGTGGGTTCTCATCCCTCCCCCACCTTCACACACAGAACCGCTTTCTCCATGGTCGGGCTAAAGGCAGAACCCAGGACCAATATGGCAGTCCCATGAGAAGAGGCCCAGGGACACAGAGCCCAGACATTTCTGGAGTATCTGACCAATGTCCACAGCTGCACAGGCCCCAGGTGGGAACACGGCTAAGTCCTCTCTCCTCTGGGATGGCCCGGGCACCCCATCCCTCTGCTCACCATCTGTTCTCCCTTCAGCAGCCAGAGTGGTCCTTCAGATGGCCGTCCTTGCCATTCACAGCCCTGCTTACAACACTCCAGTAGTTTCCCTGCGTTCTGCACTCCTCCCTCTAGCCTCTGAGACCCAGTGGGATCTGCCCCCCCCTTTCCATCCACATCCCTTCCCTTCCCACCCCTACCCTCAACCCAGCTCCCACCTCCAGCCACACAGCACAGCCCTGCGGCACCTGAAACACAGCAGCCTGTGTGCTGCCTCAGGGCTTGTGTGGTGCTGTTCCTTCTGCCTGGAATGCTTTCCCCGGGGTTGTGTCTGGTCGTTCTTCAGTCCTCAGCTCAAAGGCGGGGGGGATTCCCTGCCCCACCATCCTCTCTTACCCCTGATGCATCACCTGCCTGTTCCTTCCATGGCGACTCTGCAGCTTATGGCAATTTGTTGATTTTCTTAGTTAATGTTGGCTCCTCCCACACAGATACGTGGGCGGGGTTTCATCTTCTGTCATCGCTGTTTGCCCAACCAAGTTCCTGGCTAGGGACGGCTGTCGACATGCCGTCGACATGCTGAATGTGTCGGGTACTATTCGGAGTCCTTCACATGTACCACCCCCTGGAACCCTGACACCACTCCTTGAAGTAGGCTCTTCACTAATCTCAGCTGTACCCAGAGGAAATGGAGACAAGAGAGGGCAAGCCACTCTCCTGAGACCACACAGGAGGTGAGCAGCACAGCAGAACTCAGGTTCCGTGGTCTGACTCCAGTCTCTGTGGTCCGACTCCAGAGCCTGACCTGCGCCCGCCCTGGAAGTGTTGGCTGAAAGGACGCATGCAGCCCTGTTTCCTGGCTTCCCTCTGCTTCTGCAGAGTAGGCAGCAAGGCATCTGGAGACTTTAACAGGCTGTGTTTTCCACACTGGGCTTGGGAAGGGTGTGGAAATGCGGTTCCAGGTACAGCACACCATGCTCTTACTTTCCGGAGTTAGCTTAGTGCTCCTTGAACCATCATAGTTTCCAATGCGGTTGTTTATTACTTAGGAAAATGAGTATATAAAAATGACTTTCTGGTCAGGTGAGGTGGCTCATGCCTGCTATTCCGGCACTTTGGGAGGCCATGGAGGAAGGATCACTTGAGCCCTGGTGTTCGAGACCAGCCTAGGTAACTATGTTAATAGCAAGATCTCATCTCTACAAAAAATAAAAAAATTAGGTGGGTATGGTGGCACAGCCCTGTAGTCCCAGCTACTTGGGAAGCTGAGGTGGGAGGATTGCCTGAGCCCAGGAGGTCAAGACTATGGTGAGCCATAGTCGGTAGCACGTACTCCAGCCTGGGCAACAGAGTGAGACCCCAACTCAAAAAAACCCCAAAAACAAACAAACAAAAAACCCCCAGAAAACCAAGACTTTCTGAGACATATAGAATGCTGTGATGGACACTGGAAATTCAGAGGGGGAGGGATGAAATATTACTCATCAGGTATGATATATACTAGCTGGGTGGTGGGAACACTAAGAGCCCAGACTTTACCACCATACAATTCATCCCTGCAGCCAAAAAACACTTGTACCCCTAAAGCTATGGAAATAAAAAATAATAATACAAATACAGATGACTGTTCCAACCTTGATGTATTTCTCCACGGGAGTCACTGGCCGGATGCGGAAGCGCTCAGGGAGCTTGACCTTGGGCTTCGGGGTGGGGGGTTCTTCTTCCCCCTCGATCAGCTGAAACAGAACCCCAGAGACAGAAAGTCTGGCTGAGGCTGGGGGCATGCTCCCTTCACCACTACCCCAGAAGGCCCATTTCACAGGTGACAGAGGTGAGCTCTGAAACATGGTTGGGCACTCGTCTGGGCCACACACTTGGGGAAGAGGAGATGGGGATTTCAGTGCGGGCCACCTGTGCCCAGAGCCGCTGTGAACTGTGGTCCCAACCACTGTGCGTGGCAGCCTCCTGGTGTGTACTCCCCTGCGGAGGAGTTTGAGGAAATTTTACAGGTTATGGACTCAGATGAAAACACACCAGAAAGCTTCCAGGACCAACTTTTAAAATATGAAAGCGTCCCCACACCCCCAATTTTAATTTTTAAAGTAATTCTGAATTCTTTGAAAATCCAGCTTAATTACATCTGAGTATTAATATAGACTCTTTTTATGCATGTCATATTAATAAGAACTCGTTTTATGCATAAAATATCAAATTGTAGAACTCTCTAAGAATTAAAAAAATTCATTAAGAGCGGCATACTTTCAGTGCTAGTGGGGTGTGCTGAATTGCCAATGGGTTTGCGCGGCCTTGAATCATGAGTGCTTTGAATTATGTGGCGTGCCTTCCTTGTGTTCTGTCCTGGAGACAGCTTGAGAAGTTGCAGATGGTGGCCGCCACCCCACTGGAGCCCAGAAAAGCATTCTGAATGCCCGGATAGGGCTTTATAAATCTGAGTTGCTTATTTTAGACTCAGAGGATTTCATTTAAGCATCTTAGAGGATTTCATTTAAGTTTTTCTGGACGCTCTTGAGCAATGGGAATATGCAGTTGGCCTGTCTGTGCAGTAGCACACAGCTGGGCCAATGGTGACTAACTCTTTGGACAAAGGGTCTTTTTGCCAGAGTCCCCACAAGTCCCTACTACTTAACATGTGGCCCCTTCTTCTGTTTCTGTTCCCTGTCGGGTCCCTGTAGCCCTCTCTTTGGAGAATACCAAGAGTGTTTCCCTAGTAACTGCTCATCTATCCCTCGGCCTCAGTTAGGCAGATGGGGACTACCATCTCATTTTACAGGTGGGATGTCTGAGGCCATGTGGTTGTGGAATCAGACTGACCAGCTCCTCCCCTTGGTGTGTCCTTATTAGTTAGGTGGCTTTGCAGTTCTTGGAGCTCAATTTCTTAATCTGTAAAATGGGCATAAAATAGCATGTCTCTCTGCCCAGGGGTTCTTGGGCAGATTAAATGAGCCAGTTCCGAGGAAGCACCTGGAACATGTCTGGCATGTGGTAAGGGCGCAGTCACCTGTGGAAGGCTGACACTTTTGGTCTCAGAGTTAACGGCCGTTGTCTACACAAGCTCTTCAATTTCACCTTGGCGAATGATCAACTTCAGAGCCATTTGTTTTTCGAAATGATGGATTCTACAACCCCACAGCTCATACAATTCCTATTTACCTCCTCGAAGGGGGTTGTTAAAAACCCCCAGTTCTGGGGCCAGTTTTGCCGCGCCTCGGTTTCAGCCTTCAGCCGGTACCTCCTGAAAAAGAGGGTTTCTGAGTGCCAGGTGATGTTGGAAAAGGCTCAGGCATGAGGTCTGCTGGGAACACTTCACATGGTTCGTGCACAGTGACCAGGGAGTGGCTCTGTGGCAGGGTGGGGCTGGGTGCCAGAGGGTAGGGCCCCCCCACCACGGAGCACCTCTCCCCGAGGGGACCCATGGCTGAAGGAGGAGAGATGCAGGTTGGAAATTACAACAGTAGGGACTTCGGAGCAGACAGGGGGTTGATTCCGCTGAGGGGCCATCCAGGTACTGGACCCCCAATTTTGGAGACTCCTATGACCACAGATGTGGGCATATGTTAAATAGTTATGGAGGTACATAGCGGCACCTAGGATGCAAACTTTAAGGAGGCACTCACTCCCAGGCTCCTGCAAGTGTAGAACCAGCTTTTGCATGACCTTGACATTGAGCACCGCCTTAAATATTGCCACCAGGTACCTCACTGGTCCTACCCTAACCCAGCCCTACCTTTGCCCTGCATTAATATAATTGTTATTTAACCACCCAGGAGCTGGGATGAGTTGCAGTAGACAAGCTGGTGCACCATGTTTTGCAAACAGCTAATGAAATAGTCATTTTGTTTTTTCTAGTTTCTTCTGTTTTGGAATCCACATCTGCACATCCTTCCCCTCTGGGGTCACAACAGTTTTGGAGGCCTTGACCAAGCTCTTTCTCTGGGCACTGAGCATCTAGGGCAGAGTCTACACTTACAGCTCATCCTAATTTGAATTCGTTATATTTCAAGGTTCAATAGCCATAGGCCCTGTTCACAGGGGAGGGGCTATCTGATTTGAATTTTGAAGGATGAGTAGGAGTTTGGCAGAAAGGGGGAGAAAGGGGCATTTCTGGCAGAGGGATCAGACCTTGCTATGGTAGTATCTCCTGTTGGGGATACTTGAATCAATATTTTAAAAAATTAATTGTTGTGTATTGCATGCAAATGGTGCGGGTTTTCCAATTACAAGAGTGATATACTATTTCCTATAAAAATAAATATATTAGGTAAAACCCAATTCGAAGACAAATATGAAGTGACTAATACAAATTCCACAAAGAAAAGGTAAAAATCACGGAGACGGTGGGTTGACTGAGGGTTAGGAGGCAGCAGTGAGTTTTGGCTCACTCAGTCTTACTTGATTGCATCTAAATCGGTAACCTCCATGTTGGCTGAAACTTCAGAGATGGGAGAATGTCCAGCAACCCGACAGAATGACAATAAAAATACCCACGACAAATGTCTGTTGAAGATCCGTCTTTTAGAAAATGGATCTATTTTTAAAATTAAAATTTCTTATTTCTTAAAAGTCCAGGAAAATTAAGAAAGAAGGTGCACAGGTACCTCTCATTCAAACGAAATGAAGGTTTTTTGCTAATTCTGTCAATTAAGAAAATATGACCCCATTCGTCCTCCCTCATCCGCGGACTATTGTAAAGCGCCTTCGTGGTGGGCCTACCAGGAGAGGTTGGAAAGGTTCTCCTGTCGCCCTCCTGTCCCCAACACGGCCCCTGACGGCCCTCGGTTCACGCCCCTTACGCCCAGAGGCCGACTTGGTGGGGAAACTGAGGCCGCCAGGTGTGCACGCTTCAGGTGGGCAGGGCCCAGCCCACCGGGTTGCCGGGTCCCGGGACGTTACCAGATCTCGTCCTGGGCCACGAGATTCATGCGCTCGGCCGCCGCGGTGCTGAGCGGTTTCTGCGCCATGGGGCTGGGGTCTCGCCGCGCCTCAAGCTCTGCCCTGTCTGCGGCGTCTGGCGTCGCTGGGGAGACCGGTTGCCAGGCAACGCAGGACGCGCGGAGGCGCAGGCAGCGCGCACCTGGCGGGGGTGGGGTCACCGGGCTCTCACCGCGTGGGTCCGCGGGCTTGCGGTTCGCATCTGGGTCCTTTGCCCGCCTCCCCACCCACCTGCTTCTTGGCGGAGAACCCTGGGGAAACCCCCAAACCTGACACCTTTAAAATGCACACCTGTAAGGGAAGAACGCACTCCTATGCGTGGACAAAACCTCAGGTGCACAGAGCCAGTGATGTCCTAGGAGGCCTGCCTGGAGTGGCCTCCTGGAGGTCAGGAAAGTCTCCCCAGTCGCCCCAGGCCGCTCCCTGCGCCGACTCCTCTCCAGAGACGAGTTTTGCGACTATCTGAACTGTTTGTACATGGAATCTTCCAGATGTTCCCTTGGCTAGAGGTCCATCTTGTCGCTGAGAGGAGCCAGGGTGCTGTTTCTCCTCCTGAGTAGTGTTTCATTCTCCTGGACTGGGGTTGTACACCAACGTTTGGTATCTTTTGGAGAAAAGCGGTAATTTCCATTGGCCCCTGCACTTTGTGCAAATCACAGATGATATTAGCTGCAGGCCCCACCACCCCACACTCTCTCTTCCATCAGCAGTAATTCTCCATCCGTGTTTGCTGATTGACTCAGGGATATCCCACCCCCCCAACCACCACTCCATGTTGCCATGGACCTGGAACTGAGATAGCAGCAAGGGCATCCTCTGCAGTGTAGGAGCATTGTTCCAACTGAGCAGTCATGCCCCTCACAGGTGTCCAGAGGCTCCCCGCGCAGAGGGAAAGGAGACAGTGAGCCTCAGCTGACCTGCAGGTCGCCAGTTGATGGCCAAGGCCTGGCTCTGAGAAAATGTGAGTGCTTCATCCTCGGGTTGGGGGGTCTGAGATGCACACTGGCACGTTACCTCAGCCTCCTCCCACAGTAGTGGAGTTGTCCTTGGCCATGGTGTTCGGAGGGCGGCTCAGCTGGGATGGTGGCGTGCCCACGCCCAAGGCACACGGTGCTCTTCCTGATTGTCAGAGGTGCCTGGCGGAGGCCCAAGCCTAGGGTGGTCTCAGTCTCCCCTTTGGCCAGATCCAGGAGGGGGTAGGCAGGGGCTGGAACTGGAGGGGAGATCACAAATGGATGAATGTGTAACTCGCTGCCCGAGGCTGAGTCAAGGACTAGCTGGCAGGCCGGGCTGGAGGTTGACAGGTCTTTAGGTGGGAAGTTGGGAACGGTGACTCTGAAGTCACCATTCCTACAACCTGAGAAAGACATTCTGGGAAGAAGTAAGTAGACGGATGGGAAGAAGAAAAGATCCATCACATAGCCAGGGCCAGCTCTGTGTCCCCTTGAGAAATTTCTCAGACATTTCTGCTAAAATGATTAATTAAGAATAAATTCATTTACTGAATGTCCATGTGTGCCAGACACTGAGGGCTCATTCATCCTACGATGTGTGCTGAGCACCTCCTAGGTAGCCAGCGGCAGGAGGAAGCTGGCTTGTAAGGTTCCCACTGTCCTAGAGCTGACACGTCGGACAGGAAGACAGATCACAGAGCAGGGCACAAACGCATGTGTGATGTAATGCCAGGAAGAGATGCAAGCTGGTAAGAGGTCGGGCCCGGGATGAGGCTGGTGGGGACAGAGAGACAGGCGAGGGGCTGTGGAAGGAACTATTTTAAAGCGGCAGTTGGGGAGGGCCTCTTTGAGGAAGGGACATTTGGGCACAGATCTGGTGGGTGGCCCATGAAAGGAGATCAGAAGAATTTTCCATGCGATGGTACAAGCAGAGCACAGCCTGAGGTGGAACCAGCTTGGGGTGTTTGAAGAACACAGAGGTGGCCAGTGCAGCCGGAGGAATCTCTGGAAGAGAACAAGGGTGCAAAATGGAAAAGTAAGCCCTCTGCCTTCCGGAGGTTCAGTCTAGTTGGGGTACAGTTCTGAACACAGCTCAATGATAATGTGAGATGACAGTGTATGTGGTTTGCAACCAGCCTCAGATGAGCCAGAAAAGTGCAGGGAAGGGGGTCAGTGAGTTGGGTTTTGAAGGATGAATAAGAGTTTGCCAGTCTCATCCATTCTCCTCAGAAATATCTGCACATGGCACCCTGGGGGATGGGGTCCAGGAATAGAACTAGGATATATGTGCAGGCGTTGGGATGTGATGTGGGCTCAGGTCTGGGCTTTGCTCTGTGCCATCGCAGTGACCTTGCCCCTTGCTCAGCCCCTCTAAACCTCAATTTCCTCATCTGTCAAGGGGATGCTGATTCTATCCCCCACCTGAGGGGTCTTGGAGGCTGTGAGGAGCACATGTAGCTGCAGGATGCCCGGTGTGGCTGGACTCACAGAGAGCGAAGAGCATCACCCATGGACAACAGTGAATTGTTTCGGCTCTGGTGGGTTCCTTGGCCTGTGACACTTGGGTGTGGGTGTCCATGTGGGAAGACGGGAAACGTGGCTTTGAGTGGAGTGGGGTTTGCTTCTTGAGGATCTCAGTGCTGAGGAAGAGGCTGTGGGCAGCGGTGAACTGAGGCTGTCTGTGGGAGGGTTGAGAAGGGAGAGAGGACCCAGAGTCAAGTTCGCCTGGGATCGTTCCTCTGGGCCCTGCCCCCAGGCCATCTGGTCACCATCTCCTGGCTGGGCACTGCCCTATGTGCTCTGACTGGATGGGTTCCCCTGGCAGAGGGATTCGTTTGTGACCATTTTGCAGAAGGGGAAACTGACTCAGTAAGAAACCCTGGCCTCGGAGGGCGGCGCTTCCTAGGACAGAACTCTTGAGGAAGACAGAAAGTCGGAGTGCCTTGGCCTCCCTCTCTCTCTTAATTAGTGAAGATGGCTTTTTCTCTCTAGAAGATCTCAAGGTGAAGGCTTGGCTGTGGACAGGAGCAGTGAGTGAGGGTCGAGGACGATCTCAGGTCTGGCTTTTCCCGAGGTAGTACCTGACTGCAGCATCTGCAAGGACGTGTCTGGACCCGCTGAGGTCTCATCCCAGTTACTCCAGGCAGCTGAAGCTGAGGGAGGACCCCCAAACTCTAAGTCCCAGAGCCCACACCCCCCGGGTCCTCCTGAGCCTCCTTCCCAATCGTGGCAGGGCCTCGCTTTATCCAACCGCGAACAGACCCCCCAGACTCACTCTGTCCAATCAGGGGATGTGATCGCAACCCTTAAGTAGCAGAAGCCCCTCTTCCTATCCCTTCAACGCCTCCCCTGCTCAACAGGAGGGCCAGATGCCTCCCCTGCTCAACAGGAGGGCGAGATTCAGCACGTAAAAACACAGAATGCCCTGTTGAACTTGAATTTCATGGAGCATGCTTATAGGACACCCTCCTTCTGCTAAGAGATTATTGGCTGCTTATCTGAAGTTCAGATTCAGCAGAGTGTCTTGTGTCTCATGGGAAAGTCTTTTCTGGTGCACACACCGTACTCGGCAAGTCAATTCATTTGCATATATCAAATTCTGTTTTATTTTTGAGCTCTGGTGGCCTCTTTTTTGTTTTGTTTTATGTATCCTTCTCCTTCTTCCTGGTTCTGGGGTTGAACCCTTCTCCCCCACCCCAGATATTTGAAACAAGAAATTCATGGACCTCTGGCAGACACACTCTCTTCACCTAAAACTTTTTTTTTTGTGGCAAAATTGTTATTCGGCATAGAATTCAAACAGGAAGAGCAGAGGGAGAGAGAGGACTGCCATCCGCGCCGAGCACACGTGGGAAACTAAGAAAATATTTACAGCTTGCAGAAAGTTCGCCATGTTCTCGGGTATTAATATTTTTGGCCCTCTCTCAGTTCTCTGGGACAGTTTATTTTTTATTTTTTTTTTCCTTTTGCTGTTGCTTTATAAAACATATCGACAACTGGAGCCAACCGCTCCTTTTTTCATTTTTAAGCTTAAACAGTTTTCTTTTTTATTTTGTGATTTTTTTTTAACCAAAGAATGCTTTGTGAGGCAAACAGCTTCTGCCAGCCAGCGCGCTTTCCTCGCAGCACCGGTGATCATTACCTCGACTGCACAACAAAGACCTGAGGGCTAGAGCAGAGAGTGTCAATTTGCAGAGGACGCATTTGATGGTTTCACCCAGCTCCAGCTCAGGGGACCCAGAAGTTCTCCTCTTCACACTCATTATGTTCTCTTTCATCCCAGCTGAAGAACTCTCCTTTGTAAATACTCTGCCCTCTACACACCTACCCTAACAATTCACATAGTCTCTGGGGCTGGTTGGGGAAGGAGGAAGCCCTACCCCTCCCGCCGCACCCTAGAAAGCGCCCTTGTGAGCACCCCCCCACCCCACCCCTAACCCCTCAGCCTAATTATCAATGACTGCTCCCAGGAGATGCCCATGCCTGGCTGAGGACACATATGGCCCGGCTTCCTCCCTCCCAAGCCCTCTGTGCCAGCTCTTAGGATGTGAGAAAAGCGAAGCCCCTGTGTGAAAAGAAAAGTTAGCTGCTGGCAGGGGACAGGAAGCAGTCTTGGTTTCAAAGTGCGAATCACGCTAGGCAGTCCTGGCCATTTAAAGTGGTAAGTGCCCCATCCCTCTGGGTGGCTGTTCGTGGTAAAGCAGAGAGGGAATGGGGAGGAGCTTTGAGAGGGACAGCCTGTGCCCATCTGCTGTTAAGTCTCCAACCTAAGAAAGCAAGGGGTAGGGGAGTGGAGAAGGGGGATGAAGACATTCTGGGAGCAGAGATTTTGTCTCTGAAGAGTTTTGATGTAGCTTGAGGTCATGACGATGAAACTCAAGTGGTAATTGGTATACAGTCCTTCTCTGTGAGTCCAGGGACATTTCACTTAACTGACTGGCACCAGGGAGGGCTCTGTGGCCCAGAGAGAAGCTGCCCAGACACTGCCCTCAGAGGGTCGCATGGAAGGTTTTGAAGGGAAACTGAGTTGTTATGTAGAAGGAGGAGGAGGAGAGAGGTTTCTATATCCTGTTGTGTAAAATGAAAACAATC